TGGCGATGGACTGCTGCGTTTTGGGTCGTCCTGCTAGCTATCCACGCGCTCGGCATCTGGCTCTTTACAAGTGGTTTCTTGTTGACACGGCTGGTGCTGGAGGACAAGTCGAACTGCACAATGCCTCCAATTGAGAACACCAAGGGCTCATTGAATGTCGATCGCGGTTGCTGGCACCCTAAATCGTTCGACAGAGCCGTTGTCGTTCTAATTGACGCGCTTCGATACGACTTTACTGTTCCCGAGGATCCGGCGCAAGCTCAGCACTTCCACAATGCTTTCCCCTACCTGTACGAGACAGCTGCCAAATCGCCTCAGAATGCCTTCCTTCGCCCTTTTATTGCTGATCCTCCGACCGCTACGATGCAGAGACTCAAGGGTCTCACGACTGGAACATTGCCTACTTTTGTTGATGTTGGAAGCAACTTTGCTGGCGCGGCTATCGAGGAGGACAACTTGTTGATGCAGCTGAAGGACGCTGGCAAGAAGATTGCTCACCTTGGCGATGATACGTGGTGGTCTCTCTTCCCTGGTTACTTCGAGCCTAATATTAGCAAGGCCTATGACAGCTTCAACGTCTGGGATCTTCACACTGTTGATAACGGCGTTATTGACAACATTTTCCCACTATTAAACAAGGAGCGAAAGGGCGAATGGGACCTTCTTATTGGACATTGTCTTGGTGTTGATCATGCTGGCCACCGATACGGACCTGATCACCCTGCCATGGGAGCCAAGCTTCGCCAGATGGACGAGTTTATCCGCAAGCTTGTCGAGAGTATCGATGACAAGACACTTCTTGTTGTTATGGGAGATCACGGTATGGACAGCAAGGGTGACCACGGTGGTGAGAGCGACGACGAAGTTGAGGCTGCTCTCTGGATGTACTCAAAGAAACCCTTCTTTGGCAGAACCTCTTCCGACTTTGCTGTTCCTCCCCCCAACGCCAAGGTTCGACCAGTGAACCAGATTGATCTCGTTCCTACCCTTGCGCTGCTTCTTGGTATTCCTATTCCCTTCAACAACCTGGGAGGACCAATTGAGGAGGCGTTTGCTGGTACTAAGGGCAATGACTGGCGTAACCTCAACGCTGTTTCGCGCGTTACTGCAGCTGGAATTGAGAGATACCAGGCATCTTACCACAAGGCTCGAGGCCTGACCCAGGGTGAAGGAGCACAGTCTCCCGCCGCTCTTTGGGAGGCTGCTCGCGCTATTGCCAAGAACGATCGCGATGCTTATGTTGCCTTCACCAAGTTCCAGGAGACTACTCTGTCTGTCTGCAAGGACCTCTGGGCACGTTTCGATGTTCCTCGTATGATCATGGGTATTGTCGTCTTTGGGTTTGGTCTCGTCTTGCTCTTGATGTACTCATCACGGGAGGAGGAAGATGAGTACGTTATTATGAATGACGCCGAGCTTGACTATGCCGAGAAGAAGCTGGAACTCATGGCTTTCAAGGAGAACGAGCCTGAGACCGTGGAAGTCTTGCACAAGCAGATCCTCAAGGGCCTCTGGGACCCCAAGATTCTCTTTACTGTCTCTGTTCTTACAGGCGTAGGCCTGTATCGCCAGCAGCCTATCGAGGGCCTTGTTGCTCTCGTTGCCGTGCTCTTCATGGCTGGTCTCAGCTCTTCCCTGCATGACGCAGGTAGGACTATTCTCAATGTCTTCCCCTCGACTTTCTGGGGTTGGTTGGCTGTGATCTTCACCGTTAGCCAATCGATTGGATTTGCTTCCAACTCCTACACCATCTGGGAAGATTCAATCCTTCTCTTTTTTATTACGACTTTTGGTGTGGCCAGTGCCGTCTCTGCATTCCGTATTGAGACTCGACGGGAGAGATATTTAGGCATTTACCACTCTGTTGCCTTCATTATTCTTGGCCGTCTCGCCTCCTACTCCAAGCTTTGTCGCGAGGAACAGATGCCCTACTGCACCTCTACATACTACGCCTCTTCGACATCTTCAACCTCTGCAATCTGGCAGCTTGCCATTCCTTTTGCTGTGTGCCTTGTTCTTCCCGCCATTATCAAATCGTTCCTCGTCACAAGCAGGTCGTATGAGGGCCTTGCCCCAACTTGGATTGGCTATGTCATCCGGGGAGGCCTGTTCTTGTCTGCCTTGTACTGGGTAATCGATGCCGCTGACAATGGTGGCTGGCTCGCGGGACGTCTCGCCGAAGGAACCCCCAAGACCATTGGAGTGTATCTAGCCCAGATTATCCTCGCTCTCGCCTTCATTGCCGGAAGCACTGCTTTTGTTTGGGCGCCTCCCTGCGTCTCCCTCCTTCAATCTGCTGGAGCTGGCGGTCGTCCTGTTGTCACTATTATTGGATATGGTAACGCTATTGGTGCTCGCTACTTGTTGCTCCCGCTCAACCTTCTTTTGGGGTGCTTCCTCCTTTCGAAGCCTATGGGCGGTGGTGCCCTTGCTCTTATGTTCTGGCAGATTCTTACCCTGGCTGAGCTTTTGGATCTCAATGAGCTCAAGACCAGCCCTATTGGACCTATCATGCTCGCCGTACTTGGAAATTTCTACTATTTCAAGACTGGCCACCAGGCTGTGCTGTCCAGCATTCAGTGGGACAGCGCTTTTATCCCTCTGTTTAGCATCCGCTACCCTTGGACCCCCATCGTGGTTATTCTCAACAGCTTTGCGGGCCAGATCATCGCTGCTGCGTCTGTACCACTACTCGCTCTGTGGAAAGTCGGTCCCAAGCAGAAGGGAGTTTTGGAGACAGCCACTCGCGGGATTGGCGTCTTCATCATCTTCTATGCCGTTGAAGCCCTGGCTACTATGAGCTGGGCTGGCTGGCTGCGTCGTCACCTGATGCTCTACCGTGTCTTCAGTCCTCGCTTCATGCTTGCGAGCACTGTCTTGCTCGTTCTTGATCTTGTGACTATTCTCGTCACTCTGACTGGCCTGCGTAGCAACACCCTGTCCCTAGGCGAGGTGTTCGGCTGGGCCGATTAGATGTATTGATGGGTAGAAGCGTGTATGATATGTGTACAGATAAGGGCTTCTGCCGCATTTCAGGCAGAATAACTCTTGTGTTATCAATCAATAGGAAAGAAACGAAGCTTAGGATAATGGAGGATAGAGCGGTGTCATATGGGGCGTTCAGTCCATGTCAGTCTTTTGGTTAGACAATCATATTGTAGCATGTCGGCATTTTCTTGTATCCAGTCATATCATCTATAGCAAATCAAAATATCACGTCAAATTCGTCGTTATTTGCTGGCAACATCCGCTGTTCCCTTGACAGCCATTCCTCCTTCTGGCCCATCAATCCAAACATCCCATCGCCCCTGGACGCCGTCTTCTTTCGACACTTTGCGGATGCTGATGACCATGCGCTCATTGACGTACAAAGGCGCGTAATTCCTGTAGCTGAACCTGTGGACGGCTACACCAGCACCGATTCGGTCGTTGAGGAAGCGAAGCATTAGAGCAAGAGTGAACGGGCCGTGGACAAGAAGTGCTCGATGGCCGTCAACTTCTCGCGCGAACTGAGGATCGAAGTGAATAGAGTGAGCGTTGAATGAGAGCGCTGAGAAGTGGAATAGGTGTATTGGTGAAAGTGTGAGAGAGATTGAATGACTTGGTGGTTGAGGGTCTGAGATTGGTGTGTCAGTAATGATGATCCTGGAGCTTGATATGGATAACCTTACACTTGAGCAAACGTGAAGGTGATGAGGATGAGGCAGACGCTTCTTCGTCCCTCATAAATACCAACGTCCTCCTCTCTTCGATATCCCACTCTGTCCTCCCCTCAATCTCATGCCCAGTTCCATATTTCCTCCACACATCAACAAACACCTTCTCCTCGCCCTCTTTACCTCTCAAGGTAACATCCTCAATCGTTTCCTTGCAGATCGCCGGCCTCGCATCAAGCTTCATCGCATCTCCTCTGAAGATAACCTCGCCACCTGCCCATACACGCCGCGTATAAGGCGGGCCTGGTGAATGATCAGGATCTGCGCCATCAGGAATGAGGCGCGAGGGAGGCAATTGGATGGGGAAATAGACAAGATGATGGCCTTGAGGAAGAGCGCGAGGAGGCGACGATATTTTTGACTCCGTGGGCGAAGGATATAGAAGGTCGTTAACTGTAGTTGTGAGGAGATGAGAGGGCATTGGAGTCAGATAGTCTGCTATTATCTTTGGTGGGTGGGCTTTGAGTGATGAGATTATATATGAGGATGATTTTGTGGTATAGGCTCTATGGAATACAGGGCCGCACTGGCGGTTGAGTGTAGATAATGGCCTCATGATGAGATCTATTGATATTGAATTGTATTGAGGTCCTGAGTTTGGTAACAAAGTTGGTTGATGATTTGCAACTATAATAGTTGCCGAGTCAAGGTATTACAGTGGGAAAGCCTCGGCTTAAAGATCATCAACCAAAAATATGAAAATTGTATGAAAATCAACGCCATACGTATAAATGTTCTATATAGCACAGTAATAGCTAAAATCGAGAATAAAATGAAACAAGCTCATAAAGATTAAAGTGCCTGAGGTCTTATTTCACGGTCATACACGGTAGAAAAAGTCACGGCAATTCACGGGGTTTGGGCTACGGATGTCATGATAAGCCGATGATAGTCATGATACATATTGAAAGTCAAAGAAGAAAAAGGAGGCGATCAAGTCAACACGAACAAACTTTTCAATTCATCCCTTATATAGTATCTATATAGATACTCATCCATACCCATCCCGTTTGTTTTATGTTGCCGTTACACATCTATCATGAAACACATGAAGCTTGCCCTTTGCGACTGGACCAGCCTCAACCGACTCTATCGGCCGAGGGGGCGCATTCCGGGTTAAATATGCAGATAGATCCAGTTCCCATTTCCTGAGTTGGCCGTCACATAAGTAAGTGACTGAAGACTCAGAGCTGGCCTCTTATCATAAGACATTCCATTAAATTCTTGCCGCGTCTGGCACGGCTAAAGATTTGACCAGTCACTGTTGACCTCTCAATCATACCTTTACAGGTACTCGGAGGGAGTCTTGACGTTGTTTCTCTGAGCCCACGACTGGAGATCAGCGCGGCAGTTGTCCAGAGCTCCGGTGATGGCGAACTGGGTCTCAATACCCTCAACTCGGTGGGTAGAGTTGATGTTCTTGACCAGGGTGATCTGGAAGCAAGTGGCACTGCCCTGGCGAGAGATGATGGTGGAGTAGGCCAGGAAGTACTCCCAGATACGGAACCACCGCTTGCCGTACTTGGCCTCAACCTTGTCGCGGTTGGACATCCAGTTGCGGTACCACCTCCAGAGGGTAGCAGAGTAGTGAACACCGATGGTATCGATGTGCTTGATCTCGAAGCCGGTACCCTCCAGCTTGTCGACAACCCAGCCGAGAGGAGTAGAAGCGTCAGCACCAGGGAAAATGTACTTGTTCATGAAAAGACCCCAGGTGAAATCCTCGTACTGCCAAGCCTTACGGAGACCAGCGTACTGAAGGAAGAAGACACCATCATCGTCAAGCATGTCGTGAACCTGCTTCAAGAAGCTGCCGAAGTGGCGGATACCAACGTGCTCAGACATCTCAAGACTGGTGATCTTCTTGTAGCCACCCTCGGGAACGGGAATATCACGGTAATCCATGCAGAGAATCTTGCTCTGCTCCTCAGGGATACCGGCCTTGCGCATGCTGCTGTTACCCCAAGCGGTCTGGTTGCGGCCAAGAGTAACACCGGTGACGTGAGCGCCATACTGCTCACTGGCAAAGCGAGCAAGAGTACCCCAACCACAGCCAATATCAAGCATAGAGTCACCCTTGTTGAGGCCAATTTTCTCGCAAACGACAGTAAGCTTGTTATCCTGGAGCTCCTCAAGAGTCTCTTCGCGGTTGATGTCGGAGATGATGCCAGAAGTGTAGATCATGCGGGGACCAAGGAACCAGCCGTAGAAGTCATCACCACGGTCGTAGTGGTCACGGACCTGCTCCTCGTCTGTGATACGTTAGTTTATCTTTCAACTGATCCTCAATTGTAGCACATACCCTGAGAGCGAGTGTGCATGATAACCTCAGGAATCATGCCAAAGAGGAAGAACTTGATAAGGCCAATGGTGAAGCGGAAGCTGGCCCAGTCATGGCGGTACTCCATAACCTCGAGGCAGTCACCCTTGAAGTCAACATCACCATCGAAGTACATCTCGTGGAAGGTTTCCATGGGGATCTTGTTGCTGCCACGGTACTTGAGGCGGTCGGCCTCCTTCTTGAACTCGAGGTAGTGCTCGACACCACGGTTAGGGAGGCGAACCTTCTCATTCTTGCGAGGGCTGATGGAGGAGATTACAAGCCACCAAGCGGCGAGCAGGGGAAGATCGACGATGAGGGCGAAGAAGATGGTGGTCTTGAGTCCACCGCCAACCTTTCGGCTGAGGAACCAAGGGACAGCTACCAGGATGGAGATGAGGACATAGTTGTTGAAGGTATCGGCACCAGAGCCATCGGCAGGAAGAGGAGCGTTCTTGATGGCCGGATACTATAGGGTGAATATTAGCATTGATTCCCTGGTATCGAAGAGGACAGACAACGTTCAAGTCAAGTCAAAACTTACCCTGGTAGTAGGAACACCAACATCCTCAAGCTTGTCAAAGTCAGGCTTGGGATAAGCAGGAGTTTTAACAAACTCAAAGTCGGCGCCGGTGACGCCTGATTTCTCTGCCATTGTGACGACAGATCCCAATGGCTACCAAAGATATGATGGAAGGGAAGAGGGAGAAAGTCGCTGAGGCGGGTTTATTTTTTAAAGAGGGCGACTCGATGGAGATTTCGTGGGGCAGAACCCAAAAAGGGAGGGAGCTTTGGCCTGTGTTTGGGGAGGGGCGGTGTGAAAAGACAGGGCCCAGATGAACTCCCAGGTATATGATTGGGTGGCTGGGTCACCTAAACCCCCTAGATTCACAAAGATTAGTGTCGGGTCGGTACCTAGTTTTAAGGTGTTCTTTTCAGCGGTGATAGGGGTAAGATAGCAGCAGCTCAGGTATTGAGATTCAATTCAGTCCAATGTCTCGCGGAGGGACGGGACAGTCCAGATCCTTAATTGTTCATCAATAACTTGATTCAGTAGATAAACACGACAACCTGATGCAACATATAAGCAGCTTCTCTCTCAATTCAGCCTCTCTCTCTCTCTCTCCTGAGCTTAATCCCAGCCACAAAACGCAGGTACAGCTACAGTCCCAGCCAGTCATTCCCTCACCAATTGTCGATCAAGCCCCCCACCAAGCTCGTTCCAATTCCAATTCCAATCCAACGACTCCGAGGTCTGAGGTCGATATCAGCCTCCGGATTTACATGTCCTTTCTCTCTCGTACTCGGCTTTACCAGATACGATGGTTCTTTCAGGGGTTCGTAGGGTCTTATGCACGACACCAGCTCAAGTCTAATCGTTTGACCCCTCTTTTTAGCAGCTGAGGATACGTGGCCCTTCAGGACTCTGATTTTTTATCTATGGCTTTCGAGGCCACTTTTCAAGCTCTATTACGTTTCCTCTCCAGCCACACTCAAGTCGTTCATAATCCAGCACAAGAATAAACAAATGAATTTATAGATAATTTAGCTGCTTGTTTGCGTGTTTCAGCTTGACCGAACCTGACCGGGGCTCGTTGCTTAAGTAGCTGGGACACAAGCTCGTCCCCTCGATGTCCGTCGTCCGTGTCCGCGGGCCCCGACCCATCTCAACACCAAGCCATTCGCGGGGTAGAGAGACACATCCGTTCATGGAATAACTCACAGAAGCTCCGTAAGAGCATCACGGTGAATCATTAGTAGCTTCACATGATTTGACTCAGGTTAATATTTCAAATCTACTTTGTTCTTGCGCCGAAGGCACTTCATCCCTAAAGATTCAGATGTTGCCATCAAGTCTTGGTTAAGATTTAAGAAACTATATCAGGGGAGATTATTGCTGGACAAGATTCCAGCCAGCCAGAAGTAACAGTTCGACTTTTGTCTTGATGATCCATTTGACAATATGCTCTGGCGTTCAGCTACGAGTCCCACACCTTGGAGTGAAGGGAAAATATTGTTGTTCAAGTCTTGATACAAGTACCTACAGTATATATATGCTCATTTATGCTCCCGTGTCAGAACCGTTAAAAGGCATCTCGATTTTAGACTATCAACTTTCATGGAGGCATTGCTTTCGCAATATCCCCGCCAGGCAGAGTCTGAAGCAATTCTTGGAGTGTTTCATATGCTTACTGGTTTCGTGTCAGGGACTCAGGGAGACCGAATAATGTCTTGCCAAGCTTTGGCCAGGCTAACATAAAGTTTTCAGGGTCCAGCAAGGATTACCAGGCTTGAAACCTTTTTGACACGGCCCAGATATGAAGCAATGCTCAGGCTAAAGCTGCAGTGCAGGCAGTTGTCCGTTCCGGAAAAGAAAAAGAAGAAAAAAAGGCATATGCATATAGGACCCCTAAGCTGTCTTCCATATCAAGCCCTGATATAATGAATCGTTTGATTTCGATCTCGTGTCTTCATGGCTGCTGCAGTTCAGGATGCCGCCTGCATTTGTTATACCTTGGTGACCTATAACTGGGCGTAAGTAGGTGGTGGCTCATATCAGCCGACATTATGCAGCTCAGTTCCTTCGCCTTGGTTTTTCTTTTTATGCTTGTGTAGCATTCGGGTCAGGCCACTCGGTTAATGGCCTCGGATGTATGTTGGTCTGTCGTTGACGAGTTGACCTGTCGTTTGAAAGTTACGTGAAAGGTAGGAGAGTTGTGCGCCACGTTTTTGGACAGCATGTTTCTCCTGTTACTCCCCTTGGGATTCCAACGTTGTTTCCATGCAAAAACTGGCGTTCTTGGCGTTTTGCCTGATCATCAACCGGCGTGTTGATGCAAGTTGATGAATGTCTCGCATGTTTCAGGCCTCCTTATGGGTTGCTTAGAACTCTGGGAGTTCCATTCTAATAGAGGTTCGGATCCAACGATAGGAAGACGAGAGTTTTTCGGGGCTTGAGCGACGTATACTTGAAACTCTTGGCGTTGAAATGGGGTGCAATCCTGCAGAAGAACCATGTTTGGCCAGGTGCAGATAATGGTTTGTCTGTCTGTTGGTTGTTGGAACTTTGTTTTAAGAACTGAGTCTGTCGAGTGGGGGCTGTCAACAAACAGGCTAGGTACTAAGGCAAACAGGTGATTGTGATTCTGAGAGCCATGCCACATTTTCAAGGATCCTATAAGTCAGGTTGTCAGTCCACCTCCAGAATATTGATACATCACCTTAGGATTTGCTGTGCCGCTGCCTGAAGGAGGGGGAGCATGTGCATCAAACAGAGGTCTGTTTGCTTGCGGTATTTGATAAAGACTGATAATAACTCGTGTTTTTCAGAGCCCTGGCCAAGTTTGGTCAGTGCGGGATAGAAAGATGACTCGAACTTTGCTTGAAGGATGGCCGAATGATGAGGGCATTGAGTGCCTCGAGAAATGTTTGTCGAGGGTCATCTGAGTTGTCAGAGGGGCACCCGGATTCTCGGGTCTGGATGATGTCAATGCCGACGAGAGATACGGCACCTAAGCCAGATGAGGTTACACAAAGATAGCGGGATTTCCTTAATGACCTGCCTGACCCCGAGTCTCTGGTTTGGGATAGCGGGGATATTCAAGCGTTGGTGGCGCTGGACTTGCATTTGAATATTGCTTATGAAAGTCATTAGAGTCAGAAACCAAGACACATACAACGAGAAATAGCTCTTTTCGACTCCTGATTCCAAACTACTAGACACCTCATTCGAGTTGGTAGGGTAAGCCCAGTCTTGATAATGCATCTTGCTTTTGAAATTGAGTCAGCAAAGTGATAGGCAATTCTCTCTCACGAGTCAAGTGCGGGGGAAAGGATGAAAAGAAAGCAACATCCAAACATTGTTACTGTCAATCTCAGTCAATGGCACTAGCTTCGCCAAGGAACTTTCAAAGGTCCCAGGAATCTCAGTTGAGGGTCCTTTTGCGATTAAGTTTGATACCAGTATTAGCTTGCACGGGAGCCCTTTTAGCTGCCGTCTGCAGTTGCAGTACAATCCGTCCGCACCTGCCCACAATGCCAGTGCAACACCGCACAGCACAGACTTTGGAAGGTACCCGGCCGCGGCAAGTATGGATTTGGAAGGGACTCCATTGAGCAGCCAATCTTGTTTCCCAAACAGAGTCAATGATGACCTCAATCACGGCGCTTGCCTTGATAGCCGCACAAGTACAGTTACATAGCACGTGCACAAGCGCGTTTAGCTGTTGGTTCTAGCAACCTCATTTCAACTTCACCTCACGAACCAACACATCCAAAAAAACAATGTTGTTTCAAGATGACATCACGTTACATCCGAACGAACCCGCCACTGCTTCAAGGTCTCGATCTTTCTTTCATATGCATATGGCTTCAGCTGTGTACTTTTCAATGGTGAATTCCCTACCAAGATGGTAGGGGCATCGCATAGCGCTTGTTGACTGAACACTGCAAGCACTGGCTCGACATCAACGTTGACGGCGATATGAGATTTGATTCTCGTTCTATTACCTGGCCATGCCGTGGGTCAAGCAAGTCGATCCATATATTGAATATACATAAAGCGTCTCGTCGCCCGATTTCTGGTCTCTTGGATTACCATGCTAACAGCTACCTCACCTGTCCCTTCACATATTTCAAACGAGTCCAATGGGTCGTGGACAACAATGCTCCCTGTCACCAAGCCACCTACTGCACGCTGCAGCAAGCTTAGTACAAAACTCGGAAAGTATAACTAATAGCTCACCGCGGGTTGGTTGACAATCCTTCCCTTTGCATTGTTACCAGGCATGCTTGCGACCTAGCCTCTATGGATCGTGTCCATACACTCCATCCTACCAACGATTGAAGTCCCAAGATCACAGTTTACTATCAGACTGTACAACATGGGCAGTATCTGTACTAGTTTGCGAGTCCAGAATCATACCCACGTACCACCGCCACCGCAAACCGGCATGCGCCATTGAACCAATTATAGCGCCAGTGACTGCCTGGCTCGTTTACACTGAACATCGAGATTAGGCATCTCGCTTAACGAATGGCGCTTCAGCTTGCCATGGCCTCTATGCAAGTAGGCTTCAAGATAAGAAATCACAGTGCAAGCATCAGATCGATTGTATCAATTGAATTCTTTCGGGCGACAAGGTGGTCTAGCAGCTTACAACTTCCACGATCACATAACCGGAACACGATAGGAGAATAGAAGGTGTCCAAGAGGTACTCACCTCAGGATTCGTTGAATGTTGCTGCTTCCTGCCTCTTGTTGGACCCTTTCGGGCCCCTCGTTAGACATCCAGATCCTTCTTCTGATGAACCTGTTATTTGGCGTCAATTCGATATTATGGCAGAGCATATCGAATAGCTCAAGTGCCGAGGCCATAGTTCACTTTGATGTGTGGGCAAATGTCTCAGTTTCTTCCCCATTTGAGACGGCTTGCACAGCCCATCTGGTTTGTGTAGGTTTTGGCAAAGGCAAATGTTGCATGTTAGCCTCATATTGGCGAATCAGATCACACCCATGGAACCCAGCCGACGATGGCCAACGCTAGGGTAAGCATGCAAGACCATGACAGGTTTAGCCTGTATGATCAAAGGTGAGCTACTGGTAGAGCATGGCAAAGTTATCTTCGATCTCTAAAGTTGCTCAATGTCCTTTAC